CTCTGACACTTAAAAGCCAGAGGCATTAGCTGGATCCTGTTGGCCCCAGTGTATGGATATACCAGATTCCATGAGTGAACCTGTAAGCCCTAAAGGGCTGTGGCTGCTCTTGAGGTTCATAGCCCCACAGCCCTACTTCCCTGTGGAAGATGGTAGAGCAACCACTCTTGATGTGCCATAATGTCCTCAGTTTGCTTGGAAGACAGGCAAAGGCTGGAGCCAAAGTGGTGGGAAGGAAGCAAACCCTTGCTATTGCCTGGGCAGGGGTTCTAGTGGCAGCAAAGTGACCACAGCCATGCAGCCCACTCTGTCTGTCCCAGACATGGGGGGAGTCAAAGCTGCTGCCAAAATGTGAGGTCAGTAATTGCTCTCTGTTCCCAACACCTGTCCCTGAGGAGACATGTGAGGCCTCTCTTGGATCTGCTTTCCAACACTGCTCTCCCCGTCTTCCCTTCCCACACCTGGATCAGCCCAGCTCTGACAACGCCACTCCAGGAGAGAAACAAAAATTTTGCATGTGCTGCCAAGGTCTGAGTCAGCCCTGCCTACAGCAGTGTCCCAGAGAGAGCAGAGACTACCATAACCTCACCAACATGGCTGGCAAGGTGCATTTTCACCTCCACCTGCCTCCTCAGACACAAATACCTGGCAGCACACATGTTTTCAAAAATCACACTGAAACAACACTCCTTCCCTGGGGAGACAAGGAAGATAAAACCAGCCTATGACAGATGGTAGCTCTGTTGCTCAAGGCTTTATTAAATGGCACTTGCAAAACAGGGGATTGTCACAGTACAAAAACCAACATAGCAGAGAAGAATTAGCCACTTCACTAGAGAATGCCAACCCCCAAACAAACTAACTAACTAACTAACTAACCAAGGGAGCAAATGGAGTTACAGTCTCTCATCTCAACATGTCCAGTTTAAAGCATTTTTGAGCTGACATAGCTGAGACAAGTAAGGGATATTTGTTACAACACTGGAATAAGAGCATAAGGAGATCTAGATCTGAAGAACAGCTTAAATTGTCCTTCCTGACTCTGCCTCAAGTTTCTTACATTTCCTTAGGCAAGCATTTAATCTCTCTATAATGGAGTCCACTTTTGTAAAATATGGGTAATACTTACTTTCTCCCTCTTGTGTAATTAGTCAACCAGGGCCAAAGCCATCAAAGAAATTAGCTACCTGAAGTAAAATTTAAGTGATGGAATTAAAATATAGGTCCTCCGCATATTCTCGCATCTGCTGCCTAGAGCTGGAGACATCTGAACTCTGTATACAGTAAGGAATGGAATGTACCCCCATGCTCCCACCTTGGCTGTAGCATATTGAATCTTTGAGGTACCTGAATTTCCTTGCACATTTAGCCCTCACCCCTTTGAAGTTATTGTTTGAGGGTTTATTGCAGTGACCATCACAGTTGTGATCATTTTGAAGACAAAAATATCCAACTTCCAGAAAACATACAGTGGAGTTGAAAACTTTTCTTTTTTTGAGGAGCAATCATTACATCTGACAGAAAGAGATGTCAAAGAGGTAGGGTTTAGTGCAATTTAGTGCTGAATGAAAGATGCTGTATAACAAGGACTGTGTGATCACAAAGGCTTTGAAAGAGCGGGAGCATGCTTATCCTGTTTGACAGCATTACCCACAATGTGTCATTATAGATATTGATGATTATATAGCCATAATTAAAGTGTTGTGCTTAAATAGCTAAATGTAGAAAGATGTGTCAGATCATTAACACAACTTTAAGTTTAATCATGTCTGGTTACAGAGCCGAGACAAATATTTAAGCTTCCTTGCTAAAAGAAGAGCTACTATGTCTAATCATCAAAGCATAGCTGCTTGCCAAGAGCATAAAAACCTAATGGGTTTTGCAAGAAAATTATGTCACCTTCAAATTAACATTCATAATACAGATGGCATTTATGAAAGGTAAAGTCATTCATATTGACATAGTCTATCTCCAGTGACTGTCATGAGAGATTATGAACCCTGTGTCCAGAAAGACGTTTTGCCAAAGCAGGGTATTGTTAGAATAAGACCGGTCTGGCAAATCTGGCGACTTTATCTTTTTCCTGACAATTTCTTCATTTGGACTTAAACAGTGACATATGGATGCCTTGTTTTGTGCAAATAATCAGGATCATTCAGACATCTACTGCTGCTATACACGATTTTTTTGTGGTGCTCACTGGATCAGCACTGACTCTATGCATTAATGCAGGAACAGACTTTATAACACTTGAAGGGAAAAAAATGGTTTTTTCAACATAACACTTGCTATGAAGAATGCAAAAAGTCTGAAAACATCATTCCCACCAAGTTTGCAAGTCTACTTGATGGTATGGCTTAGCATAATAACAGAACTACCTAAGAATGCTGCTACCTAACTATCAATTACTGTTGAAATAAACATGGGATGGGAGAATGTTCAAAACCTTGAGCAGAATGGAACACACAACTATTATTAAAAATAATAAAATTAAGACAGATTCTTAATTAAGAAGGATTCTTAATTAAGGATTCTTAATTAAGAGGGATTTTCACATCTCTAAAAGAAGAAATAAAAAAAAGAAAGATCAGTTTAACTATAGAATTTTCATTGCCTTATTTGGATATGCTTACATTTGTCTGAATTCTTCACAGTTTATTTTCCGCAATCTTTTTCTAAAACATAAGATAAATTTACAGGAGAAAGTCTAGCATATATCAAAAGTTGTAAAAGACAATAGTAAAGTGTAATGATGAGTAATGAAGCAGGGAGTTATTAACATCCTGCATTACACCACTGGACACAAAAAAAGACCCTGTCCATGAAAATTATGTGATGTGATTACTATTACAAATATGCATTACTTCATACTGGGAAATCTAGTACAGAAAAAATGAGCATAAATCGTGATATTTTAGAAAATATATGATCTGATGGACACTGGGAGATATAATTCCAAACACAGAAGGAAAGAGGACTGGGGATTGTTGCTGATGCCAGACAGCCATTGATGAGGCTGAGCAGAGAAATTAGTGTGAGCTGACATGAGTTAAACAAAACCACCCTAAACAATCAATGTGTTTCAGAGGCAAGGGAAATATCTTATGCATCAAAGTTGTGTGAGAACATTCATCTGAATATTGGATCATAGAGCAGATACACTATGTATGGGAAAGGTGCCCAGGAAAGATCAACAGAATTTAGGAAGGGCCTGAATTTAAAAAAAAAAAAAAAAAAAAAAAAAAGATTATTTCATGATAAAACTAATTCTGAAAAAACAAAGATAAAGACAGGATATTGTGACATTCCATCAACATTTTAAAAGCAAAGATGAATTTTTTACTATAGCTAAAAATCTATGTACAACTAAATAAATGGAAGGAAATTAAGAGTGAAATTTTAAGAGGAATTTCAAGAAAAACTTCTTGACAGTGAAATATATTGGATTGTGGAGTAATGTCCTCGGGGAAATAATGAAAGCACTGTCACTTGGGACTTAAAATCGCACTGAAAAAAACCACAATAGAGTATCTAGGAGAGAGAACAGTTTTTGAATTGGCCTCAGGGAGTCAAGCTGAATGACTTAATTGGTCTTCTCAGTCTCTAATTTCTTCAGGACAGACCATGCCTTATGTGTTTTCCACTCAAGGGAAAAACAAGCTCAGGCAGTCCCCAAACAGGGTATTGAGTTTCCCAATGCCTGTGCTGAGGTGGAGAGGGGGCTGAGCTCCCCAGCATGGCCCTTGTGGCTGGAATCCTCCCATTCACCCCATCAGCCCCTCATTACTTTCTTTGTCACATCCCCATAGCTTGGTGAGAAACAACAGTGGGACCCAGATTAATTAATTTCGGTGTTGCAGTCTCTCATCTGGGGGATTGGTGAACAGGTTTGTTGTTGTTTTTTTTTATTAAGAGACCTTTATGGACCACATTCTTTATATTTAGAGGATTCTCCTGTATCAAGATACTTGCAATGGAGAAATAATGAACAAAAGCATCTGTGACTCTTGGGTCCTACCTTTCTGTCTAATCTTTTAGAAGATTCTTGTCTTTGAGCTCAGCATCTGATTTTCTTCTCCCTGTCTGTTGGTGTGACTTCTCTCATCATTTGATCATCTAGAGAAAGGTTCAGTTCATGTTTCAAGTTTCTGCATTCCTTTTTTATTTTCTTAAGAGAAACAGCAAAAAAAAAAAAAAAAAAAGAAACAAGAAAAACAGCTACTTAAGGCAATAAAGCTATAACTGTGGAAAAGTTTTTCTAGTGTAAAATCAGTAACCTCAATTCTCTGATGTAACATGACTGTTTTCTAAGATGTGCCAGCATAGTAAAGAAGGTTCAGCTTGTGATTTGGGATTTGATGGAGAAGAGGAAGTGTGACTGAAGCATAGGATAGTCTTGGTATGTGTGTAAAAGGCTTTCTTGAATTAAATCAATCTTAGATTAATCAGCATAAATTCAAGCAATCTTAAATTGCACTGGATTTATACTAAAGCCACAGAGAGGCAAGTAGAATGACAGACCTGATAAAACTTCTGCTTCAGTCCATGATGCATGCAATGGCAATTCAGCAAACTAATAACAGATAGGAAATTTTAAGCACATGACATTCTGCTTCAGCAAGTGTTTAATTAGTCTTAATTTACAGAATGCATACAATCAGCTCAACATGATCTGGCCATTATGGAAAGTAATAACATTTTTTGTAAATTAAAAGGACTGTCTGTTCCTCGGAAGGATTTGGTTGCATCTGACTCAGAACCATAAAATATAACCATGCAGAAGACACACAGCAATGAGCACATTGTTGTCTACCTGAGTTTCTCAATTTTAAATTAGAGGAACAGACTTTTCTGGCAAGACAACACCCCTTCCCCAGAGCTGAAAGTCAGGTTCTTTTCCTGCTTGGTGTTTCATAGCCCTTTTGCTATATTTTTTAGGTTTCTTCCTGCTCAGGTGTTACAGGCTTTGTTCTGAGTAATCCCATTTTTGTCTTTTACAGATGTAACCCTAAAGTGCTTAGCACCTTGATCTGGATCCCACAGGAGGAACAAGGTGCCAAGATGCAGCAGGAATAACCCTTAAGCTGTCAAGTCTGAACTTTGGGCAACATCTTCAAATAAAATAAGGGTATGTTTGACACACACCTTGTGTTGGAAATTGCCACTAACTTTATGCATCTTGTTTTGAACTGCATACCAACACTTTGTTATCTTGGCGCAACAGGCTCTGCTGGTCTTGCCTAATGCTTTTTTAAATCACTGGAAGCCCTTTCCTTAGTTTCAGTCTCCTTCCAGTCTCTCCTCCTCTATATGTTAACAAACATGCTAAAAATATGGGATCAAAGTAGTACTTGCAGTCAGACCACCTGGATCATTTTTTTAACATCAAATATGTCTTAAATGGCTCATTTATCCTGAGGGGTTTTTTTTTCCCTTTCCACCCATTTCTCACGCTGAAGGACATCAATGCTGTAAAGTGCTCGAACTTACTGCTGAGTTTATAGATGCAGATAGTAATGTTACTTGGCTTTTATAGGCCCTTTTTTAGGTGCCTAACACTGTACAAAGGAGGAAAGTGCTGTTTGCCATATTTTACCAGTGTCAAATTGTAGTACTTGCACTGTGGAATGACTGAGCTGGGAAGAATACTAAAGCCTCCAGCAGGTATATTGCATTTCCAGTGATTTCTGTGAGCGTATTCATGTGCTTGTAGTTAAGTAAAAGCTTTACCACTTCCCCTGATCTGAAACAATCCCCCCCTCCTCCTTTCCTCCTCCTAAAGTCCAAATCAAACATGCTTACCCCGGATTGTTTGCTGAAACTAGACTGATAAAAAATAATAATAATAAAAAAAGGACATGAATGAACATGTGAAGCAGGCTGTGGAGTATTAGCAGAGCTTGTCTTTGTGGGCCTGAAAAGCCCATGATAATGAGCTCCTCCACTGGGAGTGGAGAGGAGCACACATGCAAAGGAGGGTCTTGGTCTCCGTGTTTCATTAAAGGAAGGTTTCAGCCTTTTCTTTTGGGAAAAAACAGCTTTGAAAATGGAAAGCAACACAAACTGATCATTATGGTTGAAAGCGCCATCATTAAAAAATCTCTCATCATTCACTGGCTCCTGACAGCTGGTCGCTGGGACCTGAATAAACACAGCCAGCACCATGTGAATTTTGGGGAAGAAGCTCCATATTTCCCTAGCTGCAGGGGGGGCTGTGCCTCCAGGGCCACCTTGGGCCCCCCAGAATACCTCTCAGCTGGCCACCTCCGGGGCAAGCAGCCCCTGGCCCCCACCAGCAGCAGGACCCTCGCCTGGGGACAATGCCCTATTGAGGAGTTTAGGATGCCTTGAATACCCACCAGCCTGCTTTGTCCCGCTCCCCTTCTCCGCCTCCTGCTCCCCTTTCTGCCCTCTCCCAACCTCTCCCTTTTCTCTGACCGAGTATTCCCCAATCCAAAAGCCTTTTGCTCCAGCCGGTCCCCTTGTCCTGCCATCATGCCTGGCTGAGCCTGCTGGCCCAGCAGAAACCGCGCCCCTTGGAGACTGAGGGGAGATGCTGAGCTGTATTCAGAGTGTGACATAAAATAAGCCACACGGGCAATAGCAACACCCAAATGCTTAATAGGCTCTTAATACAAGAATAGAGGCCCGTGTCCTGTTTGTGGAGTAGGTTTCTAGACAGGGGCACCCACTTTTCCCTTCTGTGCCTTGCTGGCTTTTCTTCAAAGGGATTTTAATTCTCCCATCAGCTGTGTAACCCTATCTGTTCTGTGTGGAGCCAGATTATGTGTCACTGTTATTCTAAGACATCTGCAGACACTTAAATTGCCAACAAACTAAATATTGCAAATGCTTTGCACAGAAGAAGGGAAAGGGAAACAGAAAAAGAAAAGGGAGTGTTAAAATGGAAGGGAAATCAGTACTGGAATGGACTCCCCAGCATGTTGCTTGCTAGTAAGCAGGGGCTGGAAGTCAGGAAGAGGAGGAAGAGATGGGGAGAAACAGGGAAAGAGGGGTGGGGAGAAAGCCAGTCCTATAGTCAACATTTAAAAGAATCTGTAAACAGACATTTGCTTTGAGCTGTTTAAGGAGAGAAACAGGCTTTGTGCAGTTGAGAAAGGCAAGACTATTTTATGTGTATTTAGTGGTTTAGGCACAATGGGTCCAGGAAAAGTTACTGAGAGCATTAAATGTCTTATGGAAACAGCAAAAGATGGGAGATTTAGCTGCTGAGTTACTGTACCCTTAAAAAAAAAAAAATACAAACTAATAATACTCTCCCCCCACCCCGGAAAAAAAAAAAAAATGCAAGCCAAAAGCTTTGGTTTCTTTTTAAAATAAGTGTTTGCAGTCAATCAGAGGTAAATGCATATTTACAAAAGTTAGAAATAGATTTTTCTGGGAACTTCTACATGGCAAGAGTCACTATCCAGTAGGCTTATGGCTACTGTGAAACGACTGTTAGGATGACATATCAGTGACACTAATGTGACACCATTGTCATGCAGAATAGAAACAGAGAGGCAGGTTTACACTGCAAGGTTACAACAACCTCTACCTCTTATTAAAAGGTGGCAGATTAAGGCAGGGCAATGAGTGAAAATCAAGACCAGGTGCTGGGCACAAGATGCATCACAAATTCTGTTCTCAAGCTTTTTTTTCATGCTTTATAAAATTACAACTTCTCTGAAATTGTTCCTCTTTTTCTTCCTCTTCTTCCTTAATAATTGTATGGTGATTTGGAGTTTTTCTGGTTAATTTTCATATTGCAAATTAAATCAGACTTCCTCAAAGCACATTCTTAATTTTATGTTACTTCCCAACTAGAATATTTTCTTTGACCTAAGAGAAATGAACTGTGATTAAAATGAAATATTTCATTATTTATTTAGCACTTTATAATGGAAGGAATCATGACCACTGTTCCCAGTGTTGCCCTGAATTTCTTTCCCAGTGGCTGGCTCTAGGGAAACCCACAATACTTTGCAATTTTCATCATGTGTGGAAGGATGGAATAAAGGAGATGGAGGCCAAAAGAGATGGAAGAATATGTGCAGGATGAATTAAAAGTCATCAGCCATGCTGAGATGAGACTCTAGAGGTGAGGTCTTGTATTCCTGAAAGAGTTCAGCTGATGGCATCAGCGAAGCTTATTTGGAACCATTGCCTTCCAAACCCAAGTCAGCTAATATTTGATCCACATCAAGTGCACTCCTGCTCAGACCAGGGTGTTTCTCAGGGGAGTCATCTTTCTACAAGGAGAAATAAGTTGCTATTTATTTTTTAATATTAACAACCATTGCCTTATTTTTAATCATTTACAACTGCTTGTTTATTACATGTATTTATATATAAATGCACACTTATATTGGAATAATACATTTCAGAAAAATACTTTGATGGTTCTTAGATTCTGCATAAATTTGTCTTCTTAAAAATCAGTTTATATGTGAAGTTTGACTCAATAGAAATTGTTTATAATAGTTTATTCAAGTCACAACTTAGTGCCAGAATTAAGTTTAAAGAATCAGTTCTAAAAATTAATGGATCAAATGAATTCTGAAGTATATGAATGACAGTTTTACACAATAGGTCTGGGGATCACCTCAGCAATTTACAGTAAGGAAGGGAAGAAGCACTTGTGATAATGCTAAGTTGTATTTTCCTACAAGCTCAGCATGTAAATAACCATGACTGGTGTCATTACAGAACTGTCATGTAACTTGCTTTTTAGAAGTCAGTAAAATATACTGACACATAGACAAGGCAAGTCCCCTCTTTCTGCCCAGAAACCATGAGGGCAGAGTGAAAAAACACTCAGCAGAGGGAAAAAACTCAGCACCTGCCAAATACAGACCATATGTTTCAAGGTACAATGAGAACTATATTTAAGAAAAATGAGGAGAACAGTCTCTTTACAAAATGAAACCACACTGTTTTTGCAGCCTCACAATGAGCCATGGACACATTTTGCATTCAGGTAGCAGGTTAGAGAGCTCTGGGGCTATGGGATCAATATCTGCTGATACAGGAAAATGGAGAGCCCTAAAAAGTGATGTCAGAAAAGTATGTAACTAAAGAACTACCAGAGGCACATGACAGGGTGAGATTTCTAGCTAGTGATAAATCACATCTGCTCTTAACATGACGATATCAGCTCATCCCCTGTGAAAATACTTCCAAATCTTGCCTCAGTAGCACCCCATGTATAACCAGCTGTAGCTGGTTATCAAGTTACTGTGCCATAAGAACTCCATGACTACTTCATACTGTTTCTTTTTACTTGCCTACAGGTAATAACTGAGATGTAGGATTTCTCTCTTTGGTTAAGTTTCCCCCTTTATGGAAATCACAGAGGAATTCAAACTCCTTCCCAAGTCAGTAGTCAGTCCTCAGTATTATCACTACTAGTACAGCCTTAGGAAAGGTCTGCTGAAGCCAAGTACAGACTAAAAATTATGCTGACTTAGCATTTAGATACCATGAAAAACGTGTTGTCTTCTCCCCCGAGAATGCAGAATTTTTGGTTGCTGAATGTCCATGAACTCCCTTTCCACTGCTGCATGGGGAACCCAGATTTCTGCTGTGTGTGTGTGGCTCTTCAGCTTCGCAGAGCTGAGTCTCTCTCTGAGAAGGATTGTCTGTCACTCAAGCAGGAGAAAAGGGAAATTAAAACTACTTGTGATCTGCCAGCCCCCGTGGGCTGCCCAGTTGCTGCCTGCCAGGGGAAGCCCTACACTCTGAGACTTGAAGTTGTGGGTTGGGGGGAGGGAAGGTTTGGCAGAGAAGCTGCCAGCAACTCCAGAAGTGCAGAATTATTTCTCAAAGACTACTCCTGCTGCTGAGCTCTGATAAAATATTCAGAGCCTGGCAAGAATATTGTGTTATTAATGCATCATTGCTATAGGTTTTCTGCAGGAGGGTGACCATGGAGGTTTGCTCTCTTCAGTCGGCATGCAAAAGTTTTCTGGTGCCACTGTCTCAGTCACAGGGCAGAGACAACAGCAGGCACCACTGGATCTGTGCTGATGCCAGACTCAGCTGCTCCAGAGTGAACTCTAGAGTGCTCAAATGGCACTCAAGGGCAATGTCTTCAGAGGCACAGTGCTCACTGAAAGGGGAATGAGACTCCAAAA